TGTTGTCCTTTGGCAACTTTGAACAGTATAAGCCTTTTGTTCAGCTGACCTGCCCGTCGAACAAGGATCGAACAGCACGCTCACTGGAGAAGAAGCATCCCGTCCGGGTGGATCGTCGTCTTATTGTCAAAGCAAGGACCTCAGACAGCTTCGAGAAAGATGATCGAGCATTTTCTGGTCAGTACCTAATCTGCTCGTTTTTTATGTTTGGATATATTCACACGATCTGGAAGTTGATAAATAAGTTATAGTATGTAGTAAGAAGTTGCGTTCAAAGTCTCGCACTACTGATAGTTGAGTCTTTTCAGCCACATGATAAAGTTCGCTTACAGTCGTTTTCGCTGCAGATGCTGGGGACATATCAGGGAGGGCTGGGTCTGGCACGGCACCAGCCCGTTCTCCTCTTGTTGGCAGCGACAACAATTGGTGGAAATGAGCTGCCACCGTGCCAGCCTCAGCCTTCCGGCACACCCCGGCATATGCGGCGAATGCTTCCCTCGCTGCCATCCATAATGCAGATCTTGCAGGATCGTGATGCTTTACTGCATACGACAGCTTAACCTTCATATAGGGTAGAACTTCTATGTCACCATCCGTTGTTCATGTTTCATCAGCAACTTGCACTAATGGCATTTTATCAGAGCTTTGCCTACAACCGAGTACCTACCTCTCTGCTCTTCTTCTACTGGCATTGTCTTTGATGGGTTTGGCTGTCTGCGTCTGTGTTGGAGTCAAGCGACGAACTAACTCAGTAGAGGATCTCCTTTCAATTTCACAGTAAGTTATAGTGTACACGTTTAATCCAATAACCACTCTACTGGATCAGGTATCTGAGAAAAGAATGGGGCTCATCCATGTGCGTAGTTGAGAGCGCGGCAACAACTGAGAGACCGAATGGAAGGAGTTCAGAGACGGATATATGAGACAGTCGGTAACCGAATATGATGATGTCGCCAGGGTTCGCGAGTGTAGGTCGTTTATTTTCAGTCGCGGCATCATATACTTTTATCTAGTTGACGTGAGATACACGGGAGACGAGCAAGAGGATCGTAATTTGCCGCTCCGCCGCGCGCGCCTATAGGCGCGGTGCTTTTCACCTCGTGTCAGCCTACAAACTGGAATACCGAATTTGACATAGGCCACGAAACAGTAGACATTTATAACTGTTTTCAGTTCTCAATTTCCTATCGTCGCCTTCCACAACCTGGGACGATCGTCAAGTGCGGGCGCGACTTCGCTCGCGACGCCCATCAGCGCGGCGAATTGCGATTCTCTTGTAACGTACGAGATACGCAGGAAAATAGTCAACCCTTCGCTGCGGTGCTACTTCGAGTGGACTGGGTCCCAGTGCGAGAAGTGAGCGCAGTTCCCTCCCTGCGAATTCTTTTCGTCGCGGTCGTCGTGATTCGAAGTAGCGTATACGCCCTGGGATCTCAACTTTTGTTTGGAAACACCCTTTTGCACAGTGATATAGAGCGTAGGCGTAACTGTATGGAAGCCAAAGTCTTAAATGGTGAAGATCAACTAATTCTAGGCCTTCATTTCCGAGCCGTCTTTACTTTCAAAAATATTTGCACTTTCTTGTCTCTTAATAAGCTACCAAGTCTGAAACGGACTTTTCTTCGAGAGCACTGTATTTGATTGGCTGAACTGAGCTATTTTCGTGTTCGGCCAGGGATCTTGTGCTTTATGGCTATTTATAGCCCTTGAGCCCGTAGACGCTCACTGCGGGGGCCACACGAAAAATAGCAGTCTGCCCTCTATTCATGCTAAAGTGATTCGCCGCTTGGCGCGTTCACTGCTTTTATGTCGTCTACAGTCGTCATCCGGGCAGTTGATTAGGCGGCCAAAAGGTCGCAGACGCGGCTGCGGCGCGTCACGACCGCGGCGATCAGCTGTTTCCAGCCTATTTAGCCATTTTCTCCTAATTTTCACTGTTTTTGGCTGCTTTTCTTAAGGTTAGTTGTTCCTTGTCTTCACAAGGTAAATTATGATTGAGATTTCTCCAAATTTGCTGACAATTAATTAATCGAGCAAACAGTTGAACCACTACCTAAAAAATTGCCAAAAACAACACTTCAGTACGAAAACAAAAAAGAAGAATCCGCGTCTTAATATACGTCCTAAAGACGAAAGACAACTGACCCTGAGAAAAAGTAAATAATACAGTAAAATTAGGGAGAAAATAGCCAAGGCTGGAAGCAGCTGATCGCCGCAGTCGTGACGCGCCACAGCCGCGTCTGCGGCCCCCTGACCGCCTAATCAACTGCCCGGATGACGACTGTACACGCACATACATTGCTCGCGATGAAAGGTTACTGTAACAGCGTTTTGTAAGAG